ATATCATAGATCGCAAAAAACTGTTGACCATCTCTCGATGTCTGCAAATAAATGTCTTTTAAAACTCAGAGAACAACCGATTGCGTAGGCTCTTCAGCAACTTCGCAATCGGTCAGAAAGTTATTCGAGTCTTTGAGTTATTTGTTCTCTCTTACTGCGATCGTCTATCGTATCGCTCTCTAAACGATGTTCGTTTAAAGAGCGTCACTGCAGCAGTTCAATTCAAGACGCTCAAAAGAACCGAAGGCGCTTGCTCAGAACGAATTCTCTTACTCAAAGAGAGAGCAAGTATGACTATTTTCTATAAAATAGTTAACAGTTATTTGCGAGCTTTGATACACGGAAATTAATATTACCAAATCTGTATATGCATAGTTAGCCTATGAATTTTGGCGGTCAACTTTAATATATACATAAACCTATATCCTTGAATTTACTGTTCTCACACACACACACACAAATAAATATAGCAACGAAGATTTATTTATGGACATATGTTTTATGCATTACGAAGTTAAAAAACACAAAAATTGATTTAAAATTAATAATTTAAAAATGTTTTATTGCATTTGCTCTTTGATAAACTAAATGTTGTTTAAATAAATGAATTTAATAGAAGACATGTTAGAGTCGGTAGTGCCCGACTGCATAATACTCGTTCACGCTTAAGGGCTTAATGCAATGTGTAAATCATATTATATATAGTATATATGTATGTACTATATAAATAGGTCCAATACTACATTCAAGAATTTCCCATCTACAATACAGATGAGAGACAAAAGGTAATCAAGGTACTACATACATATACATATAACACTAGTTACGCTATATCCGAACAACTTCAATAATGCAAATCAACAGACAGACAGATTGACAGACATTATCCATAATCGATATACTGCTTTCAACACGTGAACGAGTATAAATTTAAATGAATTTCTGCTCTGTCCGAAGCACACATTAACTGTTAACTGTAAATACATACATATATATGCGTGTATTTCTATGTGTCTATGTTTGTTTATATGACTTTCTCGGTGTTTACCATTTTCTTTTTGTTTTGTTTTGTTTCTGTTGCATTTGTATTTGTTGAAGTGTCATTAAGACCAAAGCAATTAGAGCTCGACTGAGCTTTCAGCTGCTCAGCCACAGAGCAAAAGGTGAAAAGAAACAACAACAACAACAACAAGAAAAAATAAAGAGAAAAAAAAAAATAGAATAATGAATGCAGTTGCTCGTTACCTTTTGCTAACTGTTATTGCCACTGTGTTTTAGTGTATTTTCTGATATGATTTTTTCGTTTCTCTTCTTCTTCTACAATGAACACACACACACATGCATACACATATGTACACTGAGAGACAGGTGTAGACACATACATATATAGAGATGCATGAAATTGAAATTCTCGTATGCCAATTAAAATATATGTTTTCTTCTTTCTTTTTCTCTCTTTCTATCTCTTGCTCTATCTGTTATCTGTTCTGGCTCGTTCTGCTGCTGTCGACTGCTTGAAACGCTGCTCTACTCAACACACACATACACACACATGCGCGCACACACACGCATACAGAAATTTGCATAGCAACCAAATGAAATATGAGCGAGTGATATCGAACGCGAATTGTCAAACTACCTACGAAATGGCCATAAATATGCAATTATGTTCGAAAAGTGTGGATGTGTTTATATTTTTCACTTGTGCCACACATACACACTCACACAGAAACACAAATACACATACACAAGCAAACTATTCACAATAGGCAATTTATGTCAATTGCATTCAAAGCCAACATTTCGGTTGTGGCCATTGCGATTGATCGATTGAGCATACACACACCTACGCATACACACACACACACACACACACATACATATATATATATACACAAATCTGTACCATACACATGTACATACAAACAATAGATGCGCCATTTCGAAATGTTGTTTCGGCTCGCCCACAAAAGTATGCAACAGAATTTGCCACGACAAATGCATGCGTAACAAAAGCTTTAGACCAACCAACCAACAAAAACTAACGGTTAAATATATGAAACCAAAAATGGATTGCAAACCAATATAAGAAGAAGAATACTAAACAAAAGACAAAACTATAATAACTAGCTTAAGTAGAGAACAAAATACTTATTTTGTTGTATTAAAATTTTTTGTTTATATTTTTTTTTAACTACATAGAATGAAACGAATTACCAAGGTAAACATCTAAACTGTTTGGGATAGTCAAAATTTAACCAAAAGCCCAGTTTTACTTAATTGCGAATATAGAGCAAAAAAAAAAAACAAAAAAAGAAGAAGAAGAATAGAACTCAACTGTACGAAACCTTAATAAAATTGAGGGTTATTGGATATACTACTAAAAGAGCATGCAAAATAGTTATCTAAATTTTATTTCAGCCAAAAATAATATAAATAAAAATGATATATCAAATTTCCGTAATATATGTAAAATTTAAATTTGAAAAAAAGAGAAGGAAGAAAAATATAAAATTCAGATAAGACAAGACATATATATCTATACATGTATGTGTGTGTTTAAGGCAAATTGTAAGTATAAAATCAAATGTTTTTAAATCAGAAATTGGACCAGCAATGTAATGCAAAAAAAAAAATAAATAAATAAATAAATAAAAAATAAAATAAATAAATATATGAAAAAATTATGAATATAATGAAATAATGAAAAACAAAAAAAAAAAGTTGAGTATTAACAAAATGAGAAAGCAAATCAAATGCTTAGTTCTAGTTCTTCTATTCATGATTAAATTAGGAAAATTCTGTATATATGATATGTATACAGGCATACAATATACAATATATGTATGTTTGCAGACACACAATTACGATATTTATCAAATACTATATATATGTATATGTATATGTATATGTGAATGTGTTGTATTTTATAGATATAGTCATAAGACAGAAACACACTAAAATGGATTGTAAATAATTGATTGTATGTAGCAAGCAGATTGTTAAGATCTTTGTCCAAACCGATCTAACTACTATAGGCATACAGACTCCTCTGGTATGTGCATACACAGCCATACTCCCACACACACACAGACCCATACACCCACACACGAATGTATTTAGCTATAGTCTTCCAACAGCAAACAAATCTTGAACCTTGACCTATTGGCCTGACCGAGACGAGAACATGAACCAAACCGAAAGACAGAATGAGAGAGCGAGAGAGATAGTGCAAAAGTAATTTCCACTTAGACAACCTGTAGCAAATTGGTACCTTAGCCGAAACACCCAAAGAAAAGCTTTCAACTTTACAACCAAAATACATACTAGAAACAAACATTTAACGAACAAACTTTTTCTGCACAAAGTGCAATTGTTAAAAAATAAATAAAAATGAAACAAACATAAACAAATGAACAAGAAAAAATTAAAATTAAAATTACATTAAATTTAAACAATTGAATAATGTCCAAAACAATAAATGTTAATCAAAAAAAAAAAAAAAAAAAAAAAAAAAAAAAAAAAAATCGAATGATGAACAAGAAATGAATATTTAGGACATTGAGACGAGCAAATAGTTTAATGAAAGTGTAGAAAAAAAAAAAACATTGTATTATTTTTAGATAAATGTTGCAGCAGTACGAATAATTACATACAGCAAAGTTTACATCCTGAAGGAAACCCAAAAACCGAAAACAAAAAATAAAAAACAAAAACAAAAGCGTTGCATACCAACTGGTCTTTAACTATCCATGTGTTGACACTTAGAACTCTAACTAACTCCTTCACAACTTG